CATAGGGTCCCTGTGGATCCCTGCCTTCCAAGCGGTCTACTCCTTCAGCTCTGTTTCTGCAGTGATCAAGTTAGTACTCAACATGGGCAATGACATTTTAGTAAGAGAAGCTTATTATACCTCCTGTATATAATCCAAGTAAACTATTCTTGCGTCAGTTGTAAAGCTGATGGGAATTATATATCCTCAGGTTCACTGGGGAAAATTCTGAAATTTCTTTCCTTTTTTAGATTTTAGGTTGCCAATTAACATTTTACTATTACTGTTCTATGAATTCATCTGATGTACCCAGTGCAAAGAGTAGGTAAAAGAAATTACGTGGGAGCTGTTGCTTGACTTTGACAAGTTTTTTATCCTCTTCATCAGAGTGCAGTTTCTAAGTCATAGACTTAGACTGTTCTGTAGGGGCAAGTCAGATATCAAAGTGCTGGCTCCAGTGGCCTGTTGTGACTAGCTTTATTTCTCCAGAGACAGAACTTTCATCCCTCTTTCAGTCCTTTGTCTCACATGGGATGCATTTTGTCTCCTGCCTTCTTCTTTCATAACTTCATAGGAAGAGAAGTAAAGAATAGTGGCTAGTTACTGAGGGATGTTTATCCATTCACACTCATGCATTTTCATGTCACATTCTCCCCAAGGTTAACCTCTTCTCCCCCCCCAGACTGGCAGAATTAATACAGTGGGAGGGATGAAGTCCCTTAAGTGACAAATGTAACCTTTAAAGAAGTGGCAGGATCACAAAGACTTTAAATATGTCTAAATTCCTACATACTCTTTGTCTCTTACAAAACTTAACCTTTGAGAAATATGTATGTTTTGGTTTCTTACCTTCCTTTATCCCTTTACTCCTCTCCCTAAAATTTCAGTTGTAGTTGTTAAAACTAATGTAAAATTTTACCACAGATCTTTTGCCTCAGGTACACTGGACAAAAACTCAGCATCTCATACTCTCATGTAGAATGGAGAAAGAAATGCTAATCTAACCAAATGATTTCAGTGGTTTATTTTACTTCTAAAAGTGTTGCATTTCTACTGACCCTCATTCTTTATATTTCTGTACACAGTGATGTTTGAGGTTGCTTGGATTTTTGTTTGCATTAGATATTTTTTATCCAAAGGTCAAGTGAGCACTGCTTTTGCGTCAGATGCCTACTGGCTGCATTTCTAATAGTTAATCTTTTCACACTGAGAGAAATAAAAAAGTGGAAGACAGTTCAAGCTATCCCAAATAAACAGACAGAAGTAAAGCAACTATTACTTTTCCTGTGTGGACTGCTCTTGCTCATTTCTCCTCAAGAGATAACACTCTGTGACATAATGTCAGATAACCATGTCCAATGTTTCACAGACTTGCCATTTAAAGATTCATTTCCACTCCACTTATTTTCTTTTTATCTGCCTCTTTTTTGGTGCATTTCATCAGTGAAAATTTTCATGTAGACTCCCCAGAAAAGGCACTGGGGAGAGAGAGAGAGAGGCAAAAGGGTCCAACTTGACTTAAAACACCTCTAGAAATTATAAACGGAGTACGAATGAAATGTTCTCATGAGAATAGTTGTTTGCATAAAATTCTCAACTGTTACTAAAGCTTCAGTGCAGTTTCTGGGGAAGACAGATACATAAAGCCTCAGGTTAATTTCAGTCATTACCAAGCATTTTACATCTGCTGAAGAATTCCAAACATATAAAAGGATGTCAATCTAAACCTTTAGACTAAAATAAATAAATAAATAAAGAACAACTTCAAAGGCTGTCAGTAGGCAAGTTATGGATCTGATTCAGCTTTTAACCCCTAGAGTTATGAGCACGTTTTATCTGAAAAGAACTGCAAGGTCTGTACTCTGCAACATTACATTTTAATAATCTACAGTACACAGAAATGATAAGAAAAGAGAATATGATATAATTTTGTACATAATTTGATGAGAAGCTGTGGGGAACATATTCTTTCTATGCAATTATAGAAAATACTAATGACAAATCATTGACTGAGAACTTTGTTGACAGTTAGATTTCCTATTTACAGCTGTACTTAAAGACTTTAGTACTTTTTAGGATTCCCAAATTTTCTTCCTTCACTAGAATATTTTTAAGGTATAGTTCGGCAAATATACCTGCTTAGAGCTGAAAACAGCTAAGGCCTTTAAGAAGTTGAATGGAACTTATTAACAATCTCTACAGCATCCTTTTAAGATGATAATTTATCTTTTTAAGTGTGTTCTGTAAAACCAGCAAAAAGTCTGATGGGAGTAAGAGCCCTGCATTATACACAGCTACAAGGTTTACTGCATCCTATAGATTCTGCTGCAAGGCACACTACAGTGGACTATCAGGTAACTTATCTTGAAGAGATGTTTGACTGAGTTACTATAGCAATGCCAAGTTTGCAGAGGCAGAGGAAGGAACCACACCAATAGAAAAAAGCAACTGGACACAGAACACTGACAATCTTGTTTAGAAAACTTTATAGCATGAACAAGCCTGAAAATAAACACAAAGGTTCACTCCTTTGAGAGTTTACTGAAAATACATTCAGAGGCCTCAATAATATAAACACTTGATTTTGTCTTACTTATTTCAGTATATCAAGGAATTAACTGAGTTACATCAGGTAAACCTGGTGAACCTACGAGTAGATTATTTGGAAGTAACTGCATGAAATGCTTCTGATGACTCACAAAGGAACACTTTTGTCCCTCTAAGACATTGGTCATTGGGTAAAAGGTGGAAAGGAAGTAGGAAATAACTGTCTGCTGCAACAATATTTTAATCCACTTACAAAAAAATCTTCCTTGGAAAGGCCTTTTTTCCCCTTTTTCGTATCTCCAGTGGTGAGTTATCTAATCTCATCTCTGTATATTGCTAAACTCCACAGGGATCACCTTTACTTCCCAACTTTATCCTGGCCAGAGATTCAGACAAAAGATCCTTAATGTCTTTCCTTAAGTTCAGCTCTCATCTCTCAAATCTATTCCCTTCTCTTTCACAAAATGAAAGAAGTCTTTTTTAGAAATGCTTCCCCTTCTACCCTTAATTTTTTTCCTTTTCTTTCTTCTGGGGGAGGCAGGATGCTGTATCAAATCTCTCTTTTCTATAAATCAAAATTGCTTTGTGTGGAGCAAGTTGCTGTGGAGAATATATTTTTTTTTCCCTGTGTAAAAGGATTCTAAAATCATACTTTTAAAACTCATAGATCAAAAATACATGCTTGTTCTCCCGAAGTAACATTAATTTAGTCAAAAAACTCTGCACTTGAAAGAGTTAATAAAAATTCTAATTACAGGATAAGAAAGAAAGGTCAGACTCCACTTACATCATTGTGAAGGGCTTTTATTACACACTGCTATAAAACATATTTCTTTTTTCAGTTGCCATCCTCACAGGGTAACCTGCATACCAATAGGATCTCCAAAATGCCATGAAGCAAAATATATTTATCTGCTAAATTCTATGTACAGTAACCTAACAAATGCCAGAGAAAGAAAGATTGCCCTCTGCACAGTAATACTTGTGTAGATGTCTTCTTTATGCTAACAATGACAAGGCTCTCTAGGTTTGTACTGTACTCCAGAATGCACTTATTTCAAAAAACAGACTCTACATCAAAGAGAAAAGGTGCACATTTTAGGCACTGAGATACTTAATATAGTGAGCAAGTACTCTTTCATGAAGCATGCTAATTAAAAATATCTAATCCAGAAAGGAAAAACAGAAAACGTATATCCCAAGTGTTCTTGAGGAAATTAGACAGTGTATGTTTGGGAGTATCTATGCCTCTCTGTCCTGACTGGCCAACTAAATTCTGATTTTAAACTCTGTCTAAAGCTTCACAGAACTGTTATTTGATTAACTTGAGTGTGTTAGATAGTAAGTCTATACAAAAGAAGGGTGGCTCCAAATGTAATCATTGTAATTTCTTAACTCCAGCTGTGCAAGACAACAAACAAGAACTTTACTGTGGGACAAGTGTAAGTCAGAATAATTCTATTTTTTTTTTGATATATTACACTTCAAATCCAGTATCTGTGATTTAACACATACAAAGTTGTTTTTTATAGTTATTTTAATCATTTGCATCCCTAAATTCTTACAACTGCAAAGAAATATACATTAAAAAATGCAAGATTTACTGTTGGCTTTCATAAAACCAGTGTGTGCTGTCAGATGCATTAATTCAATATTTCATGTGATGTATGCTCAAAGTTAGCATGTAATTAATGAAGGAATGCCTGACTTTCCTTTTCTTAAGGAGTTTTTAAGAATCACATTCAAACAGTTGTGTCTGAGTTGCACTTTGTTTGCAGAGCAAGTACTGCCTGTCCAACATTTCCAAACAATAGATATTAGCAGAGAACTGTAAGGGTTCCATTTCACCACTTCTGCTGGCAATTCTATTAACTGTCTGTTTATCTTGTGGTCTAAATTTATGACAGGCCCATTTGCTGTGAGGCCTGGAGTTTCCTTGTTTACAATACTGCAAAGTAAAAGGTGACCTTTTTATTTTTGTTTAAAACCTTTCAACAGTTTGTTCTGCTCCAAAGATAGCACCTTAATAAGGTTTCAGGACAGAAAGCTCTCTTGATACTGTTTTCCTTTGGAGGGTACAGAGCACTGCATTAACTTACATAGACATTAGAAAACAATTTTAGAAGAAAATACAAACTTGACTAAAGAGTATATTCATAGATTAGAAAGCTGCTGCGCTAAGCTCATACCTGCCATTATGAAAAAGAAAAGAAAAGAAAAGAAACCCCGGGGCGGGGGGGGGGGGGGGGGGGGGGGGAGATGGGGGAGGGGGGGGATACATAGCTGGCTAAATAAACAGTTAAAACAGCCATTTAAACAGTTGCACCTATATACACAAGTAACAAAAGCATCGAGTACCTGGCGCAATTCTATCAGGACCTAATTCTGACAACAATATGCATCATTATATTGGGATCTGATAATGAGCAAACACTGGAGGCATTACATGTCTTTAGAAGAATCAGACTTCCTACCTTAGTAAGACAGATAGAAGGTAAGTCCCCCTTTAAAGAAAGTTGTAAGTAAAGCCAGGCAGCAGTTGCAGTAAATTGAGTCCTTTCAGTCACTGTATACATGCAGCAGTTCTGCAATAAGGGAAAAATATAATGGGAGGAGCAGCTGTGAACGAGTGACCTCCTGAAGCTGAGTTCTCTTTGTGAATCAAGCACTGAGAGCCAGTGCCTCTGATTTGCATGGATTATCTCCACTTGAACAGATACATTTAAATTAACTGGCACAGGGGCAGCGGGATGAAAAAAAAAGGGGGAAAAAAAAGAAGGAAGAGTGAGTGAGTGAGTGAAGGAGAGGGGAGCGGAGGAGAGCGAGGAAGGAGAGGAGATCGGGGCGCTTGGCTGGGTACGCTGGTTCAGGCAGCGCTGTGTCTCAGAAGAGCTACAGCTCCCTCTTCATGTCACAGTTGTAAGACGAGGAAAGCTGTCATTATGGTCGAGTTTAAAACAGGTTTTTCCGCCCCCCGGCCCCCCCAGCTTCTGATGGTCCATTTGATCAGATTTCTATAAACACTTAATAACTCAGTCTGTCATGCAGCTAGGGTTTTATACTGCAAGCCTCAAATGATTATAAATCTGGTAAACCCCACTAAATGATTTTAAACACAGAAATATTTTGAGCAGAGTAACTTGTACAAATGGAGATGGGATATTTCCAAGTGTGCCATGACAGATTTATTGTTTGTGAGTGTGCAGGTGTCTTTAAAATAGTTAAGGGAAGGCAGCATTCAAAGCACTTCTGTGCAGGAGAGTAACAGGATGGTGGTGTGTGCTCCAGCCGGTATTTTCAACATTATCTAAAATCTATCAAGACAAAAGAGATGCAAAAAATTTACATTCAACCGCTTCAGAATTTCTCCCTTATTACCATAAATACCACAAACATTACTTGTTGCACATTCCTGATTTGATTTAAATGCAGTACTTAAGCTGATTAGAGAAATACGAGAGTATGTTCAGCCCTCTTCAACCTGCATCCAATCCAAGAGGAACCTTAACTAAACTTTGTTTCTTTTGTTTAGAGTACTTCAAATGAGTTATTTTTACACCAAAATATAGAATTTTGTGAACCTCTACAAGTATTCATTCCACTCCGAAAATCATGAACAGAAAGTAGAATGGCTGGTCATGTGTCTTTTCATTACCAGCTGAAAACACGAAAGGATGAAATTAACATTTTTTAAGAATAATTATTTGGTAAGATCTGGTGAGACAAAATGTCCCATATTAGCAGTTAAAACATTTAACCTTTGTCTTGTTAAGAAGCATGTCTTGCTCTAAAATTCTGCTAACATGGTCAGAGATCAACAGAATGAAACCACCTACAAAGAAACCCAGGGCTAAATTCTATCTCTTGCTCATTTGCAGTTGAAGTAGAGTCCAATGCGAGTCCGTTGTGTTCCTCTTAGTGATTCACATTTCTGGGGTAAAGCCCTAGGAGTTCTCCTTGTAGGACCCCACCATTTATTGTAATGCAGATTCCAGAATGATGCCTCTATCTGAACAGAATATATCGTAAGTACTGTACTTAATCCAGTCATGAGAAATTGCTTCTTGGAAATAATCACATTTACAGTAAAATTTGCTGCAGATAAATGATTACATAGATATTGGACAAAGTACTGGAGAATATATTTGGATTTTCTAATAAAGGCTATATGGCAGTTATTGGTGTCTGCCTGAGCCCCATAAAGTGCTTCCTCTGAGAAATGCTCTGGGTTCACTGGAAAAGGTTTGGGATTTTGATTATTTTATTATGAAAAGAGGGGGGGGATCCTTCAGCAAGACTCTGTGTATGTGAATATTTACCCTGATAATATTTAACCTCACCTAAATCTTATCTTTACCTGTGCAGTCTCCAGAACTTCTCAACCCTGTTCTTTGGTCATATCTTATGTGTATGTTGGACCCAAAATTGTATTTCTAATTTTCTCTCTTGTTCTTTTTGCCATGACCACTCACTAGGTAATAACAGCTGAATTTGACTCCAGCAGGACACTCAGGAAACTAGTCACAATATCTAACCTGTATATGATAGCTGTGGAAAGCAGCCTCCCAGTTGATAGATGGCTTTGAAAAAGATGGGCTGTGAACCAAATTTGCTCCTATTACTTTGCACCCTGCAATACACCTCTCAGTCCTGCAGTATGCCAGGCTGATAACGGCACAGCTGTTCAGTCCCAATAACCTGTACGTCACCAGCAAAAGGGATGCCCAGAAAAAGGAAGAAATATCCAGCAGTAAGAGGGATTTTCACCTTAAAGTTACACGTAAGAGGAAATGTAAGGAATTGAGACAGCCATGAAGGGTACATGACAAATTTCAGGGACAATGTAAACTGGATGCAGCAGCTGTGGGATGTCTTATTCTCTGGAAAGATATGGACGGCTGAAGTGTCATCTGCTAAAGTTCATGAAAAGATGTGCCTGGAGGCAGTGTTGAATGAAGATGTGTGTTTAAGAAAATGGTGTAACAAAAGTAAACTGAATGGGCAACTGGGGATTTATGGACACTTATTGAGAGAGAGGTCATATAAGAGATAGCTCAGAGGAGACTGGTGAGTCGGGGAAGCCTGCAACAAAAAAGAGCAAGTGGAACAGTCTGGATAACAGAGCAAAGCTAAAGAATATGCTTGCCATCTGGGAAACTGAAAAAGTACAGCAGACAAAACCAAAACAGAAGGTAGAAAGAAAGTGGAAAAGTTAATTCCAGCAAAAATTGTAGGAGACTAGGATCCAAAGAGGTGTATGAAGGGTGGAGAAATTTGTGAGAAGGTAAAAACAAAAGGAAGTCTCATCTGTGAGTAGAAGATAAAATCGACTAAGAATAAAAGTAGTGCCAACATGAACTGGGAGACTGTGTTAAACAACTAAGTTGTCACTAGATCAATTCCACAGAACAGGATGCGAGGTCATTTCCCAAGAAGGAGGATGTGAGATGTGGGTGGGAAGGGAAAAAAAAGATTTTGCTAGGAATAGGGAAGAATCATTTTTCTTTAAATTAAATTTTCTTCCCAGTGGGAAAATGACACTATGAAATTCCCACTGGGATAAATCAAAGATGATTACATGAAATCATTTCATTTTAGGTAGGGGAAAATGCCTAAAAAGTTAAGACTCATGGGATTGATATCTGGCTGACTGGAACTGAGATCCACATAGTTAAAAAAAGAACCTTAAGAAATACATGGAAGCCTTGGTAGAGATTCATTACATCATCAACCCTTCTTACTGTACACAAGAAGAAAATCTGGTCAATGAAAATTAAGCTATGGTTGAGTGGATGATCAGGAAAGAAAAGGTAAAACTATATATTGGGACCACAAGCCACCCAGGAAAGATGTAAAGACAGCATAAGTAAACTTCTTTAGCTACCTTCTAATAATCTGATAGATTAGAAAGGAATAAGAAAGGATGGCATGCATCAAACAGAATATGTTTGGGACAAATTAATGCATATGTTTACCAAAAAGCCAACAGCCAGTAAGAGATGTAACTATTGCTGTCTTTGTTCTAATAAGCAATATAGATGCTATGAGAAAACTGGTCCAGAAAGTAGTCCAAATACTGATCATGAGTTAAGCTCCTTTAAAAGAAATGTGAAAATCAGTAAAAATAAGATTTTATAGCTCTAAGGGCAAATTTTGATAATCTAGAAAGACTTATTAAAATTAAAAAGACTGATCTATTCAAGCCTTTGAATGTGGAAGAGCCTTGGAATTACTTTAAATCAAAGGTGCTAAAGCTATGGAATGTATAGCTGATTGATGGAGGGAGGGAAAGCGTTGGAAAGCGGTCAAGCCATTCCATGAAAAGGAAGAACACCTTCAAGAAGGTTATTATTGCTATGCAGGGCACAAGAGAAAGCAAAAAAAGACATATCAGCAAAGACAGATCTGGTTGAGAGGTCAAAATGCAAGGTAAAGTGAACACTGTCAATAGTCAAACTGCACAACTATTTTCAAGGGATATTGAAACACAGCAAAACAATCTTCATGCAAATAAAAGAGACCAAATAAAACATTGGACTTCAATACAAGGGGGAGTCAATGGAAATAAAGAAAATCTACCTACAGTTAAAAACTGAGTATTTTGTTTCTGTTTTCAGTAATATTGACCAGAGAGGAAACAGGATAAATAATGGGAAAGAAGACATGATAGAAATTATCAAGCTTTAAGCAAAGCTAGAATCACAGTGCACTCAGGCCAGGGGGAGGTATCAAATAAACTTCATTCCACAATTCTGACAAGAAAGGGAACATGAAATCGCAAACTTGGTAGGAAGCAGCTCAGGCATGATACTAGCTGACTGGAGAAAAGCAAATGTATTATCCATTTCTAAAAGGGAGACCTATGCAGCTACAAACCCATTAGTTTGACCTCAGTAGCTTTAGAAGAAATTTTGAAGGAAAGATAATTGAAGACAGGGAGGTAAATGGAAAATGGGATAACATACAAAAAGGATTTACTAAAGATAGATCGTGCCAAGTGAATTTGTTATCTCTCTTTAATAAGATAACTGATTTTCTAGACAAAGGATTTGTGATGCATCCTATCTATATCTGTGCTGCATATGATACAGTATCACATAGGAAACAGGGGATTAGGAGAAGAGTTGTAAAGTGGATAAAAGATTGCTTAATGGATAGATGGCAACAGGTGGTATTGAAAGAAATAGCATCAAACTGCAGGAAGTTTACTAGCAGGAATTCTCAAAAATCATTCTCAGGATCAATCTTTATTTTTTTTAGGATCTAGGCATAAAGAGAGGAGATATGAAATCTGTAATTTCATTAAGCTAGGAAACAAAGTCATTACAAAAAGGATCACTGTTTTTTTTTTATTGCATAAAATATAGGTACCTGAATATTTTACACACACACATAAAATATGGCATTATAGTTTCAATAATAAAAAGGGAAATATTCATGCCATCCACAGGCCTGAGAGTATGGCCTTATCTGAAATTCTGTGCACAGTCTTTGTCGCTTGGAGTCAAGAAAATATGCTAAAACTGGAATAACTGCGGAGAAGTGCAACTGCAGTGGCTGGCAGACTGGAGAGCCACCACTTAGGAAGGAGAGTGAAATGCTTGACTGCTTTTGTCTGGCTAAGCAAAAAGCTGAAAGAGAATATGGCTGATGTCTATAAATGTATTTATTAGACACCAGGCTGAAAAAACAGCCATATAAAGCTATAGGATAAGGCTGACAA